CTTCCCAAACCTTCCCAAACCTTCCCAAACCTTCCCAAACCTTCCCTGAAAACATCAGGAATAAACACCAGGATTCCACTAGCCAGGATAAAACTCGCTTGGTTTTACTCCAAGGATCTCATTCCCAAAAGGGGAATTGCCTGGGGGTGGAGGATTCCCCAATTCCCGGGAATGCTGAGCCCAGGGAAGCCTCAGATTGGGGATGACGTTCCCAGGAGTTGGGATTTTGGGATCAGTGGGAATTTCGGGGCTGTGCTGGGCCAGGAGTTGGACTGGATGGTCCCTTCCCACTCAGGATATTCCAGGATTTTGCGATCCTTCTGGCATTCCATGATTTTGGAGAGCAGGGGCTGTCGGGACAACGATCCCGGGGCGTCGGGATTTTGGGATTTGTGGGAATTTTGGGGTCGTCCCAAGCCAGGAGTTGGGCTCAATCCTCGTGGATTCCTTCCCTCTGAGGACATTCCATGATTCCAGAGGTCAGGGAGCGCTTGGACAATTCGGACAATCAGGATTTTGGGATTAGTGGGATCTCCTGTCCCTGTGGATATCCAGGGATTCAGCAATTCCTGGTGGTTGTGAGGAGCAGGAGCTGTGGATGTCTCTCAGGAGCTGGGAATCAGCAATTCCTGGTGGTTCTGAGGAGCAGGATGCTCCTATCCCTGTGGATATCCAGGGATTCAGCAATTCCTGGTGGCTCTGAAGAGCAGGAGCTCCTGTCCCATGGATGTCTGTCAGGAATCAGGAATTCCTGCTGGATCTGAAAAGCAGGAGCTGTGGATGTCTCTCAGGAGCTGGGAATCAGAAATTCCTGGTGGTTCTGAGGAGCAGGAGCTGTGGATGACTGCCAGGAGTTGGGAATCAGCAATTCCTGCTGGCTCCGAAGAGCAGGATGCTCCTGTCCCTGTGGATATCCAGGGATTCAGCAATTCCTGGTGGCTCTGAGGAGCAGGATGCTCCTGTCCCCATGGATGTCTCTCAGGAGCCGGGAATCAGCAATTCCTGCTGGCCCTGAAGATCAGGAGCTCCTTTCCCCGTGGACGTCTCTTGGGATCTGGGACTCGGGAATTCCTTCCCCTCCTCCTCCTCCCCACCCTCCCCACATTCCAGAGGCCATTCCAAGCCCCCCTCTTCCCTCGTGGCCCTGAAGAGCAGGACGCTGCGCCGCCAGCGGGTGCTGCCCAGGCAGCCCAGGCTCTCCATGCGGCATTCCCGCCTCAGGAAGCGGCCGATCCCGCCCTCCACGTCCCCGCGGATCTCCAGGGAGCGGAAATGCTCCGGCTCCTCCCGCCCCGCCCGCCGCATCCTCCGGGCCGCCGCCCGGTAGCACTTCCAGGGCTGGGGCTCCAGGAGCAGGACGGAGCCGGCCGAGCTGATGAACGCCAGGAATTCCCGCAGGCCGGCGTCGCCGTGGCGCAGGTGGATCCACATGGTGACCGACAGGCAGCACACCAGGTCGAAGCGGCGGCGGCCGAAGCGCCGCAGGTGGGAGCCCAGCAGGGCCCCCCTGGAGGGGCGATCCATGATGTCCAGGGCCACGAAGGACACGCAGGAGCCCGGGAAGGGGCTGCTCCGGCGGGCGCGGGAGACGAGCTCGGGGTCCAGGTCGCAGCACAGCAGGTTCAGCTCCCGCCCGGCCTCGGAGCAGGGAAGGGGCGATCCCCCCGGATCGTCCGCGGGGAGGTTCAGCAGGTGACGGTACAGGGCGAGGCTGAGCTCCTGGAAAAACGGCTGGGATCAGGGAATGGCACGGGATAACGCTCAGGGGTCCTTCTCCATGGAATTCCCAAGGAAAATCCCACCGTGGACCTGCCACTGACGCTTCCAGGGATGGGGGATCTCCAGGAATTCCAGCCCAGGAGGGCCAGGCTGAGCTCCTGGAAAATGGTTGGGATCAGGGAATGGCACGGGATAATGCTCAGGGCTCCTTCTCCATGGAATTCCCAAGGAAAATCCCACCGTGGACCCGCCACTGGGCCTTGGGCAGACGCTTCCAGGGATGGGGGATCTCCAGGAATTCCAGCCCAGGAGGTGACAGTACAGGGCAAGGCTGAGCTCCTGGAAAACGGCTGGGATCAGGGAATGCCACGGGAATGGCACGGGATAAGGTTCAGGGAGGGGCTGCCCCTCCAAGGAATTCCTGAGGAAAATCCCACCAAAGATATTCCATAGACCAGGAGGATCCAGCCTGGCCTTGGATACCACCAGGGATGGGGAATCTCCAGGAATTCCAGCCCAGGAGGGCCAGGCTGAGCTCCTGGAAAACCGGCTGGGAGTCAGGGAATGGCACGGGAATGGCACGGGATAATGCTCAGGGCTCCTTCTCCACGGAATTCCCAAGGAAAATCCCACCAAGGACATTCCATAGACCGAGGGGATCCAGCCTGGCCTTGGATACCACCAGGGATGGGGAATCCTCCGGGAAATCCATCCCAGCCCCTCCCCACTCTCCCAGGGAGGGATTTCTCCCTCCTATCCAATCCAAACCAGCACGTGGAGTCCTGGAATGGGTTGGGTGGGAAGGGACCCCTCACCAGTGACCCCCAGTCTGTCCCAGTGCCCCCAGTAACTCTCTCCCAGTGCCCCCAACCCCCCCCAAACCTTTT